AATTGAAAATAAAAGAGAGAAACCCCTAAAATTATAGCTTTTCTGTGAAATTCTTTCTTGGCACATAAAAATGAGTAAATGTTCCCCATATGGGAATTCATCTTTTCTTTCAGTTTCCAATCTTTTATTCAAAATACATTTGTTGAGAGCCATGTGAAGAATCCTAATGAAAGAGTTATAACATTGAGTAAGATGTGTTCTTAGTAAACATGATGTTAATAATCTAGTGAACTCTTCCAGTAAACCTCCTGAATTTCCTTGTCTGGATCATTCTTTGCCTCTGATCTTCTGCCCATGATAGTTTCCATACTATGTTATATACGAGTTTAATGTCAGTCTTCTCTAATAAGCTATAGGCATCTTGAGTGCAGGGACCTTGACTTGGTGGCATTGTCCACAAGCCTTACAGGATGATTTGAACAAATCTTTACTATATGAATTAATAAAACAAAGATAAACTCTTCTTTTAAACCAAGTAACTAAACTTATAGGCCAGATTATTTCTGTTAATACAATTCTTAAAATACCTACAATTTAGCATGCTCCTATGTTATAGTATTTGGTGGCATACTGATTTTGGGGTATGGGTTTTAAGATTAACTATTTGGTGTATTGGCCTTACTTCATTTATCTGATCATCCCATTGCTATACTCATAATCCAAAAATCAGGGGCATGCAAGAGGGGAAAAGTGTGGCAGATTTGGATGGGAATAAAAGAAGAGAGATTTCTCGAGCATCAAATTATTATGAGCATGAAATCCTGGGTAATCCAAGGCACAAAGTGGGAGTAGGACTTCCAAGGATGAACAAGACAAAAATATGTTAAAATTGCACCTATTCATATGGATATTGCCAGTCTGGAGTGGGGAGGGCAGGTGGTGGAGACGAAAAAGATCTTTGTCTGAAGCCAGCAATATCAGTTAAAATGCTTTTGGTTGCAAATAGCAGAAAATACAACTCAAACGGATTAGCAACTAAATAAATTCATTAACTCTTACAACTGAAAAAAATTCTAGTTGTGTTTGTTAAGTGATCTGGCAGCTCAATAATGTCACTTAAAGTATATATTATTTTTATTTCCCCTGATTTGTACTGTGCTTTCTGAGTTTCACTATTGTCCTGAAGCTGGTTTCCTTTGTGGTTGCAAGAAAGAAGGTTGCCAGTAGCTCTTAGGTTTATAAATGTCCTTGATCACATCACATTGAAAGAGAGAGAGAAGAGGGGGAGGAGAAAGGAGGGGAAAGGGAGGGAATGGGATGGTGCAGAAGGGAGGGAAGAGGAGGGAAGTTCCCCAGCTATCGAATGAAATTCTTCTGTTTTACTCTGATTATGGCAATATGCATCCATGCCCAATGAGGGAATTGTTGGTTTGGTTAATCAGCCCCTGCCCCCAATTCATGGAACCAAGTAAAGAGAGTGGATGGTTGTAGGAGAAACCAATAGTATCTTCTACGTTAATATTTTCTCTTTTGCTATAAATGCGCTTGGTTATTGTCCTAATACCAACGTGCATCAACATTAACAGGGACTTCCTCTTCCTTGAGGAAGGAAACAAGCACACATATGTGACTGGGTTTAACCAGTCAGTGATAAAAGCAACAATTTCTTTTTACTATTTTAAAGAGAGGGATATACACTTTTAATTAAGAAATGGTATACAAGTTGAGATGTGTTAATATTAACAGAAATAATGGCAGCTGTTGAATCTCTTCTCAAACAGATGGTTTAACATGCTTTGACTCATCATTTGTTTCTATTGCTTTTGCCCTTAGATAAGAACACTTAGGGAAAAAATAGAGTTAATCAGATTAAAGGAAGGATCATCCCATACGTTTCAATGTTAATAAAACTAGTGGCTCAGTGTATTGTGATACATGAATTGCTTTTCTGATCACCATTACTATGCCTTTACTATGTCCTTTTTCAAAAAAACAATAAAGTAGAACAAAATGAATTACTTTCTTAAGAAGTACAAAAAATATGGAAAGCAATAATATTTTTGAAGAAAAAATTCTTTAGTAGCATAAAATATGTTTAATATTGAAGTTTGTGAACTGCAAATTCAAGTATATTGTTTCAATCGAATTATAATGTAAAATATTCATAGTATGTTTAAATGTTATACAGGGCCGGGAACAGTGGCTTATGCCTGTAATCCCAGCACTTTGGGAGGCTGAGGCAGAGAATCACTCAAAGCCAGGAGTTTGAGACCAAGCTGGGTAATAGAGACCCTGTCTCTATGAGAAAAAAAAAAAATTAGCCAGGTATGGTGCAGCACACCTATAGTCCCAGCTACTCAGGAGGCTGAGGCAAGAGAATTGATTGAACTCAGGACTCTGAGGCTACAGTGATCTAAAATTGGGTCACTGTACTCCAGCCTTGGGGATACAGAAAGATTCTGTCTCTCAAAAAAATAAATAAATAAATAAGTTATGTTGGTACAGACTTTTACCAAGTTAAAGACTTCCTGAAATTGTAGACTATTAGATCTAGAATGAATACTAGATACATGGTTCAAATACAGCCACTTACAAAGGAGGAACTGAAGAACCAGAGAGTTTAAGGTTCAAGTGACTTCCTTAAAGCCACATCACTAGTTAATGCAGAAGGAAGACTAGAGCACCTATTTCCAAACTAGAAGCCCACTGCTCTTTCTAGCTTTGACATATATGAAATATAAAAGCACCCATATAAGATAACTATATATTAGCAAAGACATGTTGCATATTTCATCTTGAGACAAAAATAAAATCTAGATTATTCTGCCATATATAAAGGTGTGTATCTAAAGCAACATGCATCCACCTAGATACAAATCTGATTATGATTCCATTAAAATACTTAAAAGTAGTGAATCAGGGAAATATAGAGGAATGAGAAAAGTGAGGAAAATGAATGAAAAAGCCAGTCTTTAATTCAGTGAGACCAATTTCATTTATTAAAATAACCTCAGCATTTTTTAACGTAGTTGTTTACAACACGAGGATAATGTTAAAATTTGTTATAGTTTGTCATATTCTAGAGGGAGAAAAAATAGTTCGCAGTATTTCTAAAGAGGGACAAAAAAGAGTACTGGGGAATTATAATTTTAATGGCCATAAAATATACCATTATTGATGATGCATTTGATTAATAGAGAAAGGGAGACAAATGGCTTATATATGTAAAGATACAAAAAGAGATGGCATTGCTAATATATCTGAAGCACTTAAGTTGTTTGTGGAGTGGTTTACTGAATGGGAATGGTTTTAAATGGGAATTATTTTTCTGTCTCCTCTTATTAAGAAAATCAAAACAACAGTTTTGTCCTATTTTGCTGACAGTGGTTTCTGCAGTGTGATTGCTGTTGAAGCGGGAGAGAATAGAACATCAACTGTATCATTTTAAGAACTTGCGTTGGCTCCTGGAAAGGTTTATAATTGCCCTCACAAAAGAGAGCAGCCTCAGCAGGTTGGAAAATTACCAATCAGTCAACAAGTGTTTATTGAACTCCAGCTATGTGTTCGGAACAGTATTCAGTGGGATATAAAACGTTTTTTTCTCAACGTTGTGGAATAATTTCTGTAGTATAGGTATGAGTTCTTCTTTGTATGTTTGGTAAAATTTGGGTGTGAACTCATCTGGTCCGGGACTTTTCCTTGTTGGAAGGTTTTTAATTGCTGCTCCAATTTCTGTGCTTGCTATTGGTCTGCTTAGGGATTCTATTCCCTCCTGGTTGAACCTAGGGAGGTTGTATGTTTCTAAGAATTTGTCCATTTCCTCCACATTAAGTAGTTTTTGGGCATATAGGTTTTTATAGTACTCAAAGATGACGTTTTGTATTTCCATGATGTCTATTGTGACCTCTCCTTTTTCATTTCTAATTGAGTTTATTAGAGTCCTTTCCCTTCTAGTTCTTGCCAATCTAGCAAGAGGGCTGTCCGTTTCATTTATCTTTTCGAAAAACCAGATTTTGGTTTTATTGATCTTCTGTATAGTTCTTTTATTCTCAATTTCATTTAGTTCTGCTCTGATCTTAGTTATTTCTTTTCTTCTGCTAGGTTTTGCCCTTCAATCCATGAGTGGATTAATAAAATATGGTGTATATATACACAATGGACTACTACTCAATTATAAAAAACAATGGTGATCTAGTACCTCTTATATTATCCTGGATAGAGCTTGAGCCCATTCTCCAAAGTGAGGTATCACAAGAATGGAAGAAAATAAGCACCACATGTACTCGCCATCAAATTGGCACTAACTGATCAACACTAAGGTGCTCACATGGTAGTAATATTCATTGGGGGTTAGGAGGGTGGGTAAACTCACAACTAATGGATGCAGTGAGCATTGTATGGGGTAAGGGCGTGTCTCTAATCCTGGCCTGGGTGAGGCAAAGTCATAACATGTAACCAAAATGTTTGTACCCCCATAATATCCTGAAATAAAAAATAAAACATTTTTCCCCCTTGGGGACTTTCAGCGGGAGAAGGGTTGTGGGGAATTCTGTCAATGCACATGGAAGAAAGAGCAATTAAGTACTTTAATTATTAAATAGGTCTATCAGTGTAATTACATATCAGAAGGGAAAGAGATCATTTTGAACAAGAGGAGCCTGAAGGAAAAATGAGAGAGAATATAAAATCCCAGAATCATTAAACATAGAAAATGCTTTGGTCCCATTCAGTGATGAGACATCAGTTTCTTGAAGCAGTTCATGCCACCATTGGGCTGCTCTAGATTCCAGGAAAGTTTCTCTTTCTGTTGACCTATAACCTATCCCTCTTTACTTTCCAGCTATCTAACTGTCTTCAGCCCTTAGGGGTTCCAGTTCTTCCATATGGCACAATTTCAATGCAGCAATAATATTCCCACATACTATTCTTTCTTTATCCTGTCAATGATAACAATGATACCATCCCGGTATTCATGATTTTATGTTCTATTCTTCCTCAAAATCTTCTTAAATACAATATCTAGAAATGATACAATACTCCAAATAAGCATGGCTAGTGAAAATTCACAGGAAAAATTATTTTCCTTGATCTGGACAATATATTTCAATAATTGCAGAATAAGAGCATGTTAGTTTTATTAGCCCTTATATCACACTATCAGCTCATATTGGGCTTTAGGGAGTTTTATTTGACCTCTCCCACGAACTGCAGTCAAGTAAATTTGTAAGAACTTATAAATATGAAAGATACATTTAACTTGAATGTTGACTTTATAGCTATTGCTTTTAAGTGTTCCTTGTTGATTTTTGACTCATTCTTCTGGCTTGGCAAGATACAGTGACTCATGACTCTACCATCCATAACATTAGCTCTTTCTCCTAAATTTATGTTAACCACAAATTTAATAAATTAGATGTCTGGATTTTCAAAGGACTTGTACAATAATACCTTTTCCCAGAGTTGCTGTGAGAATACAAATGAGATAATGAA